CCCGGGCCGGGGGGCGCTGCGCGAGATCCGGCGCTACCAGAAGTCGACGGAGCTGCTGATCCGCAAGCTGCCCTTCCAGCGCCTGGTGCGGGAGATCGCGCAGGACTTCAAGACCGACCTGCGCTTCCAGAGCTCGGCCGTGATGGCGCTGCAGGAGGCGAGCGAGGCCTACCTGGTGGGGCTCTTCGAGGACACCAACCTCTGCGCCATCCACGCCAAGCGCGTCACCATCATGCCCAAGGACATCCAGCTGGCCCGCCGCATCCGCGGCGAGCGTGCCTGAGCCTCCCGCCGCGGGCCCCCCCCCCGTTATCCTTCATCCGCCCACCCTAAAGGCTCTTTTAAGAGCCACCACATTGCACAAGAGAGCTGTGACACGGTGTTTTTTGATACTTGGACACAAGACTAATTGATGAAGTTCTTTTAAGGCAGTGTAAATTTTTTGGCTGTTACATAAGTACTAACGCTAGCATTTAGTTTGTTTTTCCCCCACCCTCCCTATGTCTGTGCTCATCTGCTTTCTCTGGACTCTGTTGTCAAGAGACCTTCGGAATCAGATACTGCTATTCCAGTGAAAACATGTTTATAAACCTTTCTAACCAATTGTTTCAAAATGTTTATTTTTTTGAGCGGACTGTTACATGCTGTATAGCGAGGGGCTTGGAAATGTCTAATCGACTATACAGAAAAAGTAACTGTAGAAGTCGGAAAAAATGCTCGGACAAGGTAAATGAAAAATACTTCAGTGATAGTGGTAGAGCTATAATTAAAAAAAAAAAAAAAGTAGGACAGAAAACCTATGATAATTGATCCCCTGCACCCTCCCCAGACTTGATGCTTCCTGTAAAATATTTTATTTTGCAACAGTTTTATGGAGCAGTGCGGGTTTTTATTTTTAAGCAATGTGGAAGGCATAACCTGAGTTGGCATTGGAGAAAAAAGCTTCAAACAGCTTTTTATTAAAAATAAAACGCTGTGAATTTACTCTACTGTTGCTCTTACTAAGATATACTCTAAAAATCCTAACATTGTATTTGATATCTCAGAGTCCTACCTCTCTGAGATGAATAAAACTAAAGTGCTATGAAGATAAGCCTTATCCAAAGGATAAAAATGGAAAATTAAATAAATTAGTCTAATTGTCATTTATAGTCTCAATTTTATTTGCTTGCTTTATGACTTTGAGGAAAGGCTGGAGCAGAGGACAAAGGACATCTTGGTAGAAGTGAAGAGAATCTGGTGGGTGTTCCTGGGAATTCTCCCCTCCCATTTTCCAAATAAATGGAGAGCACTGGCATAGGGGAAAGTTTTGTGGCTTTTTGGGGGGACCAAAACAGCTGAGGGAAAGGAAGCGGTTGTCAGGCCTTGGCAGCTTTGTAACCAATCACAGGCCTGTAGGACATACACTTATATGGTTTTGAGAATTGAGGACAAGTATTTTGTGTTTGATGATAAAAAAAGAAGGTGGACGCAGTACGGGAATCCCTAGAAGGATCAGAAGGTCAACGTTCACTATAGTTCAGTTGATTCAATACAGTTTTATAGTCAGGAAATTACAGTTGGTCTCTAGTTCAATTTCTTGGTTGATTGTGTCAAGTCTTGCAGACTCTAGCTGTTTTAGTATTTCAGAGAAGTCATTGACAAATAAAACATTCAGATTCCTCTGGTTTTTGCTTCTTTGTTGTCACAACATCTTTTCCTCTGCCCTTGACGATGCTACCTGGCCTGTCCAATACCCTTCTGTAAATATGACCAGCCAACTCAGTTTGAAATAAAAATTCAGGTATTTGAGTATGGCATCTGGGGAACCCTGCAAGAAGTTTCATAGGGTGTATTTCTGAAACACTACTCAGAAGGGAAAGCATGGTAGATACAACTAATAGTCACAGCATAGCAATGTAGGTATGAATGTATATACACATATGTGTACATATGCTATTTGTATAGACACACATATATATGCTTTTCCTTCACTCACGAGTTTTAATTTTGCTCAGTATCCATCCACTTGTCTTTCCCAGTCACCTCTAACCTAACAACACCTGTCTTTATCCGTGTGGTTTATTTTTTGTGGTTCCAAGAATATGGTTGGTTGTTTAGGGTTAAACAGCTTTTTAAGATCACCCAGAGATCTGCCCCAAGGCTGGAAAAATTATGAGTGGCAGAGTGTGTGGGGTAGTATGGGCAAATGGTCTGGGGGCATCTCCAGTGTTTTGGAACTGCACCCTTGAACAAGTGCAGAATCCTGAAAAACTAGTGCAACATTTGTAAAAAGTATGCTGACACCCCCATAGTTCCAGGGAGACAAAAATCACTGCAAAGTGCTGGGGCCTGGCCCATGCCTATCAAGCCCCGTTCACCACTATTCAGTACCCTCAAGGGGAAGGGAAGGTCTCTGGATCTGACAACAAAGTGACAGGCGCTGTGGCCACCCCAACCCCCACGACAGGCACTGCAGCTACCAGTATCAGTTGCCCCCAATACAGAAGAAGAAACATACAAAAAAGGATCAGTTCACTTAGTGAAAGATGAAGATGAACCAGGGTCTTTCTCTTCCCCTCTGCAACTGAAACCAGAACAGAAATACATAACCTTATTTCCAAAATTTTGTATTAATAATGGTAACATCTGGACAAACCTGATAGTTATTCCTGTGTATAGTACTTTTCAATCATAGTTTCTTGGCCTTCATAGGTATGCTTCTGTGCTGTGAGAAAGCAACCTCACACGCCTTGTCTTTTCAACATGATCATCCATCATTCTGAGGCCAGCCTCAAAAATGATGTTTTGAGACAGATATTCTTGCTCCTGGAATTAACGATTGTTAAAACAGACTGCCTTAGCTGGGTTCAACAGTAACACAATTCCAATGAGTTGCAGGAAGTTTCTGCTCTTGCCTAGACCCAGCCAGCCTGAAGAGTTTGAGGTGCAGAGTTCCTGAGCCTGGGCCCGTCCCACAGCAAGTGGTGTGTCCCTGCCCCCTTCTCCCTGAAAGCTGTTTCGCTTTCCGGCAAAGTCACAGCAATGTAAAAAACTCTGTTCTGCCCAAAGTTCTCTGCTCACTGTCCTTTAATATACTGAACTCCCCCCCCCCCCTTGAATTTTTTTTCTCCTTCCTCACCCAGTGTTCATAAAGTGCCTGTTGCTCCCCTCCACTGTTTGCAAAGCACCCTGGTGAATTGCAGAGCAGGAAAGTTAGAGCCTTGTGGGGTTTATGAAAAACAAATGTTTATACACAGGCAATATAAAAAAATAACAATTAAAAAAAAAAGAGCTAGGACCATAAAAATCAAATGCTACAGTCTAGAAAAAAGGAAGAAAACATTGTTATTTTCAAAGCGTGCCCACTTAGAAACAGTGTTACAGCTCTTTTATTGTGGACGTAGTGGCTCTTAAAAGAGCCTTTGGGTCTGCGTAGGCTGCCTCGGTGCCTGCTGGAACCGGGGAGGGGCTGCGGCGGGAGGCTCAGGCGCGCTCGCCGCGGATGCGGCGGGCCAGCTGGATGTCCTTGGGCATGATGGTGACGCGCTTGGCGTGGATGGCGCAGAGGTTGGTGTCCTCGAAGAGCCCCACCAGGTAGGCCTCGCTCGCCTCCTGCAGCGCCATCACGGCCGAGCTCTGGAAGCGCAGGTCGGTCTTGAAGTCCTGCGCGATCTCCCGCACCAGGCGCTGGAAGGGCAGCTTGCGGATCAGCAGCTCCGTCGACTTCTGGTAGCGCCGGATCTCGCGCAGCGCCACCGTGCCGGGCCGGTAGCGGTGCGGCTTCTTCACGCCGCCCGTGGCCGGCGCGCTCTTGCGGGCCGCCTTGGTGGCCAGCTGCTTGCGGGGCGCCTTCCCGCCCGTCGACTTACGCGCCGTCTGCTTCGTGCGCGCCATCAGCAACCGGACACAAGTGTCGCCTTGCCAAGGGCAGAAGTGAATGAAGGAAGCTGCGGAGCCCCCGTATTTATAGCGCCGCTGCGTCTCTGATTGGACGAAAGGAAGCGCGACCTCATTGGCTACCGTGGGAATCCCGGCCTGGGCCCAAGGAAGAGGAATTCGCCGCCGCCCGCAGCCCCGCTCTCCCCCACCGCGACCCCGCTCGGAGTCCCGGCTCCCTCGGGGCGAGCCCGAAGCCTACGGGCGGGCATTGCAGAGTCAGCGCTCGCATCCCTTCTGCTTCTCTGGCTTTCCCTCTCCGCCAGGCTGCTGACGTATTAAGTGCTGTGTGGAGGCTCAAATTCAGCAGTTGCTCTTAAAGCGCGAGTTATTTTAATAATTTATTTTTTTTTTAGGGGGCTGATTACAAAAGAAGAAAAAAGTTCCTTCACAGCCATACAGAGCTCCATCTTACAGTAACAGGCACATTATTCCCAAAGTCACAAAGGAAACAGCGCTTGGTACGTCAAAACACAGATTCAGACACTTTAGAAACCCTGTAATGCAAGTTTGTATCCATATCAAGCATGTAACGAGCTATAACGACCGAGATGCATCTTTTAGGCTATTTTTCTCATATTGTTTTTTTTTTTCTTGAGGAAATTCGGCACAGTATCATCAGTAAAATACCTAGACAATGTATTTTTTTGTGAAATTAAGTTTAAAAAGGAATATGTAATTACTGTATTATTTAATTTGCCCCTACTCGTTAAGGCTGTGTGAAAAACAGAAGTGACAGTAAGTAGTTATTGATCGCCCTTGTTTGCGAGCAGTCAATAACTAGCGATAGTTTTATATAAATCCGAAAAACTGGTTTTGCAGGTTTTTTTCCTCCAGTGGTGAAGGAAATAGAACACCAATACTTTAGAGGCGCGTCTCGGACGGGAATATTCCCTTTATGAGAGAACAAGAAAAGTCTTTGCACAAGGCTCCTTCTGACGCATTCACTTGAAATGTGCTGCAAGGGAGGCATTTTCATTCATGATCCCCCCCCCCCCCCCTTATTTACTTTGGAAATCTAATATAGATTTACTCCTCAAGTAGCTTTCAAGAAGGAAAAAAAAAAATCATTGACAAAGAACTGAAGACAGGCTATAGTAACAAAAAAAATTTATTTCGAAATGTCAAAAAGAAAGCATTTATTTCAGACCGACTTTCCTATTCTTCCCTAGGTGACAAATTGGTTTCCCTTTCTTCCTTGCAGTTGATTATCTACCCTCAGTTAAATGAAAATTTGAAAGTACAAGACATTGAATGCTCCAGATAACTATACTTAAATCAGCAAAGATTAAAAAAAGGAAAACATTCCGTTTTGATTACAAAGAGCACTTGAAAATATGTTTAGTGGGGTACATATTTGCAAGGGAATTTAAAGGAATTTAAAGAGTACAGAAACAGACGTATTTTACACAGCAAAACCAGCTTTGCCAGTAACAGCAAAATTAAAACATCAGACCGCATCTTATCATAAGATCTTTTTGCAGTACTGCATAATCACTACTTTTAGTAAGCTTTGGAAATTGGAGAGCAAATAGTTCAATTGTCCCCTCAGAGAAAACAATGTAACAGCTCTTCTTAGAAGGAAGTGGGTGGCTCTGAAAAGAGCCTTTGGGTTCTCGAGGTGGTCGGTCGGGGAGCGAAGAGGCGTTCAGCCGCCGAAGCCGTAGAGGGTGCGTCCCTGGCGCTTGAGGGCGTAGACCACGTCCATGGCCGTGACCGTCTTCCTCTTGGCGTGCTCGGTGTAGGTGACGGCGTCGCGGATCACGTTCTCCAGGAAGACCTTCAGCACGCCGCGCGTCTCCTCGTAGATGAGCCCCGAGATGCGCTTCACGCCGCCGCGCCGAGCCAGGCGCCGGATGGCCGGCTTGGTGATGCCCTGGATGTTGTCGCGCAGCACCTTGCGGTGGCGCTTGGCGCCCCCCTTGCCGAGCCCCTTCCCGCCCTTGCCTCTGCCGGACATGCTGCCGTCGCTCAGCCCCGAGGAAGGAGTGTGGCCCGAGCGGGGCGGCACGGCGGCTTTTATGCGGTGGGAGCCGACCTGGTTGGGGACTGCAGCGACGAGGGCGGGGCTTGGGGCTCGCTCCCGCCGGATCTCCCCGCTCTCTCTACGGCGCGCCCCGCTCGCAGAGAAACGGCGGGTTCCGAGCGAGTTTCCCTTCCCGCGGCACAGGCGGTTCGGTGTGGCCGCCCTTTCCCGGTCCGTTCGTTTCCTCCAGATAGGAAAGACATTGGGTCTGTGTGTATAATAGTTTATAGAATTTTTAAAATCTTTGATACGTCGTAATCCTTTAGATGTAAAACCTCGATCATAGAATGTTATCCCAGTTACTGAATCACTTAAACGACTCTTTGAATTTTTACTGTAATTGTTATTTTAAATTACGGGCATGTGTTATGTAGTGCAATTTCACCTTCTTGCATTGATTCTCACGTGTGGCGTCAGTGTTTTAAACAGATGCTCCTCGTGGTTTTATTAATGGAGCATCTTGCAGCAAAATCTGTCCAATCGTGTTTCTGACAAATTCTACCCCTCCTTGAATTTCTTTCTCATCTCCATTTCCCGCCCTTTCTGAAGTTTTCTCAAGGAGAGTGTAGCAGTAAAGCTACACTAATGGAGAGTTTAACCCTTACGTGCTCCACTTTACCTTAAAAAAAATAAAACGGTTGGTTTGGACGAATATTTTTACGGTACTTTCCATTCTTGTGGCATAGACAGCAATGTGGCTTTTTTTTAGAGATATTGAAAAATTAAATACATAAAAAGAAGGGTGGTTTTGTCCTTCAGGGGAAGGTATTCAACTCTGGGTTTTCGTGCTTTGGGGCAGGAAAATCTTCTGAGGTTTTACTATTGAAAACAAGAAACAGTATTTAAGAAAAATCATTCGGTCATTTGACCTGAAAATGATCAGGAAGGGTGAAAAATGTTTCCAGTATTGAGGGTTTGCTGCCCTCTTATGGACGTTGCTTGTTTTTTTCCCCTTACAAGATGGGCGGCTTTATATAATGTATCCTTTCATAAAGATACAATATAAAACAGTAATCACTTTCTATCTTCCCATAGGCCACAGATACAGATGTTGCATCTGCTAGCAGAGAATTACCAAGTTCTTGGGTCTGCTAATCAGATACCAGAAGAGCAGGACGGGATCTTGCAAGTTCTCCTGTTTTTTCATTTGCTGCTATTAATCACTGGAATCAATAGAAAAAACACCTCAAGAAAACCTGTTCATCTGTTTTCTTATTCACTGAATAATACAAGGCTAGATGCCCATGTCGTGGTTTAACCCCAGCCAGTAACAGCACCATGCAGCCGCTCGCTTACTTCCCCTCACCCAGTGGGATGGGGGAGAGAATCAGGGGAAAAAAGTAAAACTCGTAGGTTGAGATAAGAGCAGCTTAATAGAACAGAGAGGAAGAAACTAATAGTGATAATAATAACAACAACAATAAAGTGACAATAATAATAAAAGCATTGGCATATACAAAACAAGTGATGCACAATGCAATTGCTCATCACTTGCCAACCGATGCCCAGTTAGTCCCTGAGCAGTGATCCACCTCCCCAGGCCAACTCCCCCCAGTTTCTATACTGGGCATGACATCACATGGTATGGAATACCCCTTTGGCCAGTTTGGGTCAGCTGTCCTGGCTGTGTCCCCTCCCAACTTGTTGTGCCCCTCCAGCCTTCTTGCTGGCTGGGCATGAGAAGCTGAAAAATCCTTGACTTAGTCTAAACACTACTTAGCAACAACTGAAAACATCAGTGTGCTATCAACATTCTTCTTATACTGAACCCAAAGCATAACACTATCCCAGCTACTAGAAAGAAAAGTAACTCCATCCTAGCTGAAGCCAGGACAATGACAGAAACACATGTTCTGGAGAAGAGGGATCTCAAATCCCCACAGAGAAATGTGGCTGGTATTCCCCAGTGCCCAGCACCGGAGTGGGTGCATTGTGATCTAGGTCATAAAAAAAAGAAACTTGTGGCAGAAAAGCTCTATTGTGTAACCTTGCTAAGTCAAAGGTGTCTAGGCAAAATTCTGTACCCGAACCCAAGCTGGCCCAAATCTATACTGCCATGAAAGCAGCTGAGAACAGGTCTGGTGTTAATGATATTCATATCACACTCTTAGTTTTGGGGACTCCACACCAGCTGTCCCAACCTTCCTGTCCATACACTATAGCTGTCTCCCCACTCAGCTCCTTCCTTTTGGGGACCTGTAAACTTAGTCTTAAAATGTAGATATTTACATCTCTCCATTTATTCAGCCCAGGATACTATGAAGGGCTTTTTCTTTGCTTTATTCAGCTTAGGGTGCTCACTACTACCGAGGATATGCAACAACAGCATATCCCTATTTTAAACATCTTTGCACCTGAACTAACATTGTTCAGCCTTTTATTGAAGACCAGCTTCCAATTTTCTGTAACAAATGCAGAAGATTTTTTTATAATAGTAGTGGAATAGTTTCACTTGAAATAAAACTCCAGCTTTGATGTTTTTAAGAAGTGAGCCTTTAAGAGAGACCTCTTTATTGTTTTTCAAAGACATACTGAGACTATGCAGAATAAACTCTTACTCTCACATGACAACAATTACAGTAAAAGACAGACACACACAAAAAGCACAGGAGTAACAGAACCCACTACCAGAGAACAATGAGGTAAAGAAATACATGTACAGGAATTACCTGGTTTTGTGGTAATCTGACAGGCAATCTGGCTTTGTGGTGACTAACACCGATGAAAAATTCTGTAACCCCATTATACAAAAGTGTTCATCAGTACACAGTGATTTATTTTTCTGTGAGGGAGTAACTTTACTTCAACAGAATTCTTGCCAGGTTGCTGAGAGTCTGTTCTGCTATATGTAGACCTTTATCTCACTCATGGATTCATTTGCCATTATTTTCTTTCTCCATTTTTACTTCTAGTGCTGGAACATCACAGACTTTTGATATTTATTTACTTTACTAAATAAGTAAATCTGTGAAATAAAAAGTTCACCCTATGGAAGAGAAAACAAATGAAAGCAGGTCTTCCTTGTTATAATTTCCAATTCTGAACCCATTTTTTTTACCTCCCTCCAAATTTTTGAGCAGCTTAACATTTAAAATCATAAAGTGGATACTTGAGTATTCTGTCAAAGCATAGCCACTTACTACACACCACCTTTTTTTTGCCTCCTGTTAAGCCACCTCCTCTTTGACCACCAGCTGCTCAGTTCTCCACATCAAATCATTACACAGAATTACTGTTCAGCCTGATTCCAATCCGGTTCCCGGGCCAGAACTATTCACAAAAGACAAAATGTGGTTTGTGCCCGAGGTCTTAAAGCTCTGCTTACCATATTACCTGTGTTCCAGGCAGTGATATTCATGTTCCTTGGAGTCTGTAGGGTGGGAAAATGTCCATGCAGTGAGGGCATTGTAGAAATTTAAGAAATCTGCTGTTCATCTTAGAATATGCATTAGTCTGAGCAGTTTGCAAATATGGAACAACCTAAGGACATGAAATAGCCTATATAAAAAGTTCAGTAAATAGAAGCTGCATGGCCATGGAGATGTCCTGGGAAAGAAATTAGTGCCCCGATATCCAAAAAGGATGTCATACAACAGTGAGATATGTTCCCTCTCCACTGCAATCATAAATCACACGCTTCAACCTCAGCTCAGTAGGTTAGCTAGAAATTTGAACCATGACAGCAGAGTAGTAACCCCTGATTTTTTCTTAGGATATCAACTTCTCTTACTTCTTCTCTGACCAGAATAGGAAACTGCTCCTAGGAAGGTGGAAAGTGGCCTGTTGAAGATGATGTGGGGCCCTGAGGGACAGACAGTGATCGAACACTGTGGCAGTGACTCAGTAATTCAAGATAAGCTATTTCTGAGGGACAATCAGTGTGGAGTTGTGCATGCTCAGCTGAGATGAGCTGGCATCCACAGGGCTAGCAGTGCACAGGCTAAGGGGGAAGGAGGATGAGAAACAATGAATTAGGGGTACTGACTGATATGCCAGTGTGCAATTGGCATAGACATGACATTACGGTTGTCCCTGAAAGCTGATTTTTCTCAGAGCACTCTTGTTCTTTGTCACTGTACTCATTTTTTCCAGTTGGGAAAAAAATCATCCAGTGGGTATCTATGCTAGGCTACCCAGCTCAGCTTTACAAGTTTAGTGGGATTTTTTGGTTTGGTGTTAATTTTGTCCCTGTACTGGACAATATATCCACTGGAGCCTGTATAGACTCCGTTCAGTGTTCCTGCATACACATACACTTCTTGTTCGTAGTGTAGAACAATCTCTTACATTATTTGGCAGCTATCTCCAGCTAAGGACTATAAAGTCCATTCAGCTGAAGCCACAGCTATGTACTCTTTGCTTGTAATGGTATTTTAGACTGGTACTATTGTACATAGGGCAGTGCTCTCCATTACCACTTGTATTCAGTAATGCACTGATTTTCTAAATCTCAGCTACTGCAGTAGCCAAGGTAGGTAACTGCTCCAACTGAATTTTCTTAAAAAACAGTTACAATAACTTGAGTTTTCCCCCTTACCTCTCAGAAAAGGGAAAGAAGCACCCTGATGCCTTCCCCAAGTGAGCAGGAAGGGTAAGTTGCAACAGGCCAAGAATGAACTGCTGTCATTACTCCGACTCATTCCAGGGGCTGAAATGTTTATTCCAGGGCCGTCCCACCGAGGTTAATTCAATTAGCATGGATGTGTAATACAGTTTTGCCCATGCTACTGTAACTGGCTTTTGCCTTTTTGGGGTCAGCTGTAAAAAGATAAATTAAGCATGAATATCACGTTTGCTACAGCAGCATACCTGCTGTTTGACCATACCCAGTCAAAATCTACTCCCTTCTAACTAGTTATAGCAGGCTGGAAAATCGCAGTTGACCCACTCTCCTCCAGTCAGAGTACCTAGTTGGGTGAAACCCTTTGAGAATTTGTGGGTGTCACTC